AAAAAAAAAAAAAAAAAAAAGTTTATTGGGCTCGAACCGTAGAAATAGCCTCTTGCGTACAATAGAATCTTATAATTCTTCTCTTCCCTAGATCCCGCGCATAACGAGAGATTAGTACATTAGGCTGCCCTTTTTTATCTTGTGTTCGGTGTTTATTTTAGGGCTCGACTAATTCCAAACGCTTCTTACCAAAAGACAATTTTATACCTAAAGTGCAAGTCGAGACCGTTAGCTAAAAATAGTGGAGTACTTATCATTTCACAACAACCTTTAATGATAGTTGTGAGTTTGTATTTCCTCTGATATTATTTGATTGGGCACGAAATTAAAAAAAATAAAAAAAAAATTTAAAAATTTGTGGTCTGAAATATACTTTAGATATTTGTGTAAAAATTATAGTAATATAATTAAAGCAACAACAACAAACTATGTGAATTTTCACAAATTGGGTCTAAGGTGAGTAGATACAGAGAAGCAAAACTTATAATATATTTAAATATAATAGAGTAATAGTATTATATTTTAATATATTAAAAACCAAAATGTGCCACGTAACTTGGAATAATAAAGGTGGAAGTGTATGGCTACTGCAACTACCTTGTGGTTCTTTCTTTTTCTTTGTCCAACGATCATTTAGTTGGTTCACATTAAAAAATAGCTTTGACATAAAATTTCACAACTAATGTAATGTTTACGTCAAGTTTTTGTATAACTAATAGAGGTTTAGTATTATTAATATAAAACTTCACATACATAATACTAAATCGTTTGGCTTTAGGTATTGAACAAGGAACACTACACCAACAGCGGTGAATGTACAATTAAAGAAGTAGGTTCGGTTAAATTTAATAATTTTGATTCAAATTATATATATATATAAAATTCCAAATCAATAACTGAAATAACTAATTAAATCGATGACACATATAAAATAGCCCGTAAAAGAAATATATAAATAGGAAATACTTTTAAAGTGAGTATTTTTGCATGTCACGATATTATGCTATATTGTATAACAACTAGTAGTATATTATCTTTCATCGAATAAAACTATTCTTGTATTATACTTTTTTCTTGATTTATTTCGGGAAAGAGCGCAAACTATATATATAGTCATTATGTAGGTAATAGAGGAGGCAAAATAGAGGGAGCAACGTGTGTATGAGCGGCATTTCTTGTTTTTATATTACTCCTTTTGGTAATAAATAGAGATTTCGTATCATGTTTGCGATCCTATATATTGTTTTTTTTTAATTCTCGCTTGTTATTTGGTATTTATATTTATATTTGTGTTCAACTAAAGTTGGATTCGCACCGAAAACTTTCATACTGAGACTAAAGTGCTCCCTAACAAATATTAAACTGATAATTTAAAGGTAATAAAGTGCGACTGCAGTACATGTGTTTGCAATAAATTTGTGCTCTTGAAACAATCACACGTTAATTTGAAGTTCAACATAATTTATAATTATGGGTGCTCCAATAATTTAAAGGTAATAAAGTGTGACTGCAGTACATGTGTTTGCAATAAATTTGTGTAGAAAAATAAAACTGCAATCACAAACAACTATAAAGAAAAAACGATTTTATTGATAAACATTACGGGTTACAACTCTGTTTATCCCTTAATTCTTCCCTACCATTTGTTATCCGTAATTCGAGGGCCTTAACGGCGTATTTCTCGAACGTAGGATGATATGCATCTCCTTGATGTATTTGATGATCAAGAAGCACGTAGCAACACTCCATTTGGATCTTGAATGTTGCTAGAACTTTAAGCAAGACATATTTGACATGCCTTTGATCTCTTAAATGAATATTCCAAGATTTTAATGGAATTTCGGAGATTGTATATTTGATTTCATTGTGCATATTCCGGGAGTTTATGGAATTTCTGAGATCGTTTTTGAAGGACATATATAGCCTTATTTATAGGCATAAATTAGGGTTTGGGTGGAGTAGCCACCAAGTAACCCTAATAGACTCCTAATATTTCAAGAGTCGTCTTGAATTTCAGATTTATCTTGATCTGCTAAAATTTCATTGTCTACAAATGCCTCATACTTCAAGGTTTGTCGAGGTGTAGGCTTGCTGAAACTTGAAGACGAGACTTGAAGTACCTAACCATCATAACAGATAATCTTGAAACTTGTAGTTTTCGATTTGCAGGAGAAAGAGATGAAGGGCAGAACTGGTCCCACTGGGCGTGCCAATTTATTTGCAATAAATTTTTGCAGAAAAAAAATTGCAATCACAAACAACTATAAAGAAAAAAGAATTTTATTGATAAACATTGCGGGTTATATCTGTTTATCCCTTGATTTTTTTCTCCCATTTGTTATCCGTAATTCGAGAGCCTTAGCGGCGTATTTCTCGAACGTAGGATGCCCTATACTTCAAGGTTTGTCGAGTTGTAGGCTTGCTGAAACTTGAAGACGAGACTTGAAGTACCTGACCATCACAACAGATAATCTTGAAACTTGTAGTTTTCGATTTGCAAGAGAAAGAGATGAAAGACAGAACTAGTCCCACTGGGCGTGCCAATTTGTTTGCAATAAATTTTTGCAGAAAAATAAAACTGCAATAAAAAATAACTATAAAGAAAAAAGAATTTTATTGATAAACATTGCGGGTTATATCTGTTTATCCCTTGATTTTTTCCTCCCATTTGTTATCCGTAATTCGAGGGATTTAGCGGCGTATTTCTCGAACGTAGAATGATATGCATCTCCTTGATATATTTGATGATCAATAAGCATGTAGCAGCACTCAATTTAGATCTTGAATGTTGCTAGAACTTTAATCAACATATACATTTGACATGCCTTTGATCTCTTAATGAATATTCCAAGATTTTAATGGAATTTCGGAGATCGTATATTTGAGTGCATATTCCGGGAGTTTATGGAATTTCTGAGATTGTCTTTGAAGGACATATGTAGCCTTATTTATAAGCATGAATTAGGGTTTCGGTGGAGTAGCCACGAAGTAGCCCTAATAGACTCCTAACATTTCAAGAGTCGTCTTAAATTTAAGATTTATCTTGATCTGCTAAAATTTCAGTGTCTACAACATGTAATTTGACAAAATAACAAAAATGCATAGGAAGTTTTTATCTCTTTAAGTAGTAAATTTCTTTTTACCTTTTCTTTGGGGGGTCCAGTAGAAATACTTTTTCATGAAAAATGAATTTTTACACAGCATAGTCATCCTTCGAAATACTAGCCGCAAATATATATTTTTTCTATATTAATATATAATACAAATATAATAGAAATATTTTATTATATAATCAATATATATAAATTTATATAATCGACTTCAATTTATTTGGTACTACGTAAATGATCTCTGATTGAAAGAAGATTGAAGGGATTGAACTTTGATCCCATATTTTTCTTCTATGGGATCAAAGGTAATCCTCTCCGTTTGTTTTTCATTAGTTTGATTTGAGAAAAAGTTCCTAATTTTGTTTTATCTTTTTTACATTTACTGGTTTTATTCGATAGCTAGAGGAAACAAAGGAACTAGGAAGTCAAAAGAAAGTTTAAAATATTGTCCATTCTCAGAAAGAGCAAGTTCGAAAAAAAATAGATTAAACGAGAAAATTTTATGTTGCTCTATGTGAATTTGACATATATTTATATTTTATAGTGCCTTCGTCCTAATTTATGTACGGTGTATTTGACTAAATACGAAATTTAAAAAAAAATATTTTTTAAAACTTGTGATTTAAAACAAATGATAGGCATGATAGTATGTGATTTAAATCTACCAAGGATAAAATAGAACATTTAAAATTTAATTATTTCTAAATACAAAAATATATCTTTCTTTTAGCTTTTTATTAAATTACTTTTATCTCTAACGGTTGCCCATATTCTTTTTTTGGATCATATAAAATATCTTTGTAGAGAGAGAGTGAGATTAGCATACACAAAGCCATTTCCCATATTAATAATCATAATGAGCAATTGGGCAGATTAATCCTAATCATAATTCATAAATAATGGTATAGTTAAACGCAATGCAAGTTCTCTTGATAAAATATTATATGTCAAAGTGTCTATTTTCTTTCAGCTTACGTTGTAGCTAAAAATTAGAAACAAAAAAAAACATGAAAATGTTCTTAATTAAAAAGGGCATGACATGTTAAGTCAAGAAACAATAATAAGTAAAGAAAATACATGTATTTATTCAATTACACATATAAATGCCTTTTGTAATTGAAATTATTGCAAATATATGTCATTTCAAAATTAAGAGAGATAATAAGATAGTATTAAATAGTAAACTCAAATTTTTATAAATTTCAAATGATTGAACTCCATGATTGCAGAGTTGTCAACTCAAAGCAAGTAATATTATTATGAAGAAATTGCTTTTGTATTGCCTCCAACATGTCCGTTAGTGCCTAGTGGGATTAATTAAAACTTAAGTACGCTCTAAGCATTAGTTAAGTGAGACAATCTTGTCTTAATAATGACTTGGATTAGTGGCTCATCTTATCATTTTATAATTGCGCTTTTCGGATCAGCTTGTGCG